GGAGCCCGATGCGGGACTCGATCCCAGGACCCTGGGATCATGACCTGAGCCGAAGGCAGACGCTTAACCATCTGAGCCACCCAGGCGCCCCTCCTTTAAACACTTTTTATTAAAATTTTTATACAAGTTTATATTACCTTACTAATTAAATAGCCATAAACTACAAAGAAAAACAGGAGAGAAAAAAAAGATGTTGGGATTCATAGTAGCACCATTCATGATAGCCAAAAAGTGGAAAAAACCCAAGTATCCATCAGCAGATAAGTAGGTAAGGAAAATGTGGTATGTCCATACAATGGTATATTCCTCAGCCATAAAAAGGAATAAGCTATCAAGTAACAAAAAGATATGGAGGAAACTTAAATGCACATTGTTAAGTAAAAGAAGCCAATCTGTAAAGGCTACATACTGTATGATTCCAGCTATATGACATTCTGGGAAAGGCAAAACTATGAAGACAGTACACAGATCAGTGGTTGCCTAGGGTTGGGGGTAAGGGAGGGATAAATAGGTGGAGCATAGGGGAATTTTAGGGCAGAGAAACTATTCTGTATGATACTGCGATGGTGGATACATGTCTTTATATATTTGTTCACACTCACAGAATGCAACACCAAGAGTGAACCCTAAAGTAAACTATGGACTTTAGTTAATAATCTATCATATTGGCTCATCAGTTATAACAAACGTACCATACTAAGGCAAGATGTCAATAATCAGGGAAATTAGAGGGGAGGGGTGGGGAATGAAGGGAACTTTGTACTTTCTGCTCATTTTTGTATAAACCTAAATTGCTCTAAAAATAAGTCTATTAGAGTCGGGGAGGTGGGAAAAAAAATAAGTCTATTAATTAAAAATAAAAATAGACTGGTCTTGGCCAGCCCTGGAACCTGGGGAGTGGACACCAGCAGCAGACATCCTCAGGAGGATGGAACCTGTAGAGAGGCACCCATGGGTCCCAGAAGTGGGACTGGTGGGAGCTGGGAGCACCCCTGACCCTGTGGACTCCTTTCTTCTTGAGGGGATGGCTGGGGGAAGCCAGCACAGGACCCTATGGAGAGAGAGTCCAGGATAGGCGGCGTCTAAGAATAATGCTGGAGTAAGGCCCAGGACATGAGAGGAAATGGTGGGCAGAGACACTGTGTTTCTTCTTGTTGTAATTACTATTGACTGTTGTTTTGGTTAAAATGAGTATGTGCTCATGGTAAAAAAAAAAATATATATATATATATATACACACACACATACATATATACATATTTTTTATTTTTAAATATTTTATTTATTTATTTGACAGAGAGAGACAGTGAGAGAAGGAACACAAGCAGGGGGAGTGGGAGAGGGAGAAGCAGGCTTCCCGCTGATCGAGCCTGGGGTTCGATCCCAGGACCCTGGGATCATGACCTGAGCTGAAGGCAGATGCTTAACCACTGAGCCACCCAGGCGCCCCTATATATATTTTAAATCCAACATTTCAGAATAGCATAAAGTGAAGTAAAGTCCCTCTGCTACCCAGGCCATGGCCCTCTGCCCCACTCCCCAGAGATAACCACAGTTAACAGATACGTGTGTGTCCTTCTGGAAGATGCATTTTTATGGATGGCCAAGGTCCAGAATTTTACACAGATACTCCTAATGTTTATTATGTGTATGAAATTTACAAACTGGTTTCCATTTTTGATTTCCACTTCAAAGCTAGCTTGTGAATTCAGGTAGATGGTTATTACAGATGAGAGAACAGTGGCTCAGAGAGGGCATGTGGCTTCCCAGGGACACACAGCTGGCACATGGCAGAGCTGAGACTTGAAGCCAAGCCTGCCTGCCTCTGAGTCTGAGACCCCCTCTGCTTCTCCACGCTGGCTCCAGACACCCAGACCCATCTGCAGCAGCCGGGCTTACCTGCGGCCCCTGCTCAGTCTGGCTGTCAAAGGGGTTCCCAACCACACGAGACTTGGCCCGGGCAACGCTCCGCTCCACAAACTCGGCGTACACATCTTCTTGCACAAAGGTCCGGGAGCCCGCACAGCAGCACTGGCCCTGGTTGAAGAACAGGGCGAAGTGGGCCTGCTCCACGGCCCAGTTCACTGGGGAGGCAGAAAGGCACCCATGAGAAGAAACAGAGGATGAGCCTGGCCCCAGTGTCTGCTTACCCTCTTAACCCGTTCATGCCACCAACAGCGCTGACCAGGACAGGCCTGATCTCTCCCTTCTTGCGGTGTGGACACCCAGCAGACAGACACCAAGAGAGAGGAGGTCATAGCCCTCCGTGGTAACAGACAAGAGGGTGGAGGCAGGACCCACCCAGCCAGCCCAAAGCAGTCAGGGAAGGGCAAATCAGGGGGCGCCTCGGCAGGACCAGGAAAAGGGGTATGAGGAGGAGGAGCAGTCTGCTCCGAGAGAGTGTGCAGTATGGCTGGGCAGCTAAGTAGCACAGCCCGGCTGGATGGTGGGGAGCAAAGAGGAGAGAAGCGGGGGAGAGACCAGGTCATGCAGGCTGGAGGGCCATGCTGTGGACTCTGACCTTCGTCCTGAGGCCCAGGGGGCAGACACTGAGTCCAGAGGTTGCTGAAGCTCACAGAAGTGAGTGGAGCCACAGTATGGACAGCTAGTGGCTGCCTTCATCCCACACCTCCTCCCCGCAAAAACCTTACTATCTGCATCTGACATGATGATATTGGGGCTCTTTCCCCCCAGCTCCAGGGTCACTCTCTTGAGGTTACTGCTCCCTGCAGCAACCTGGACTAGGCGGCCAACCTGTGGGAAAGCAGAAATATAGACAAGCTAGCTTCTCAGGAGGAGGAAAGAACCAAATGCTCTTCTAGACACAGGACAGAGGACCCCACAACATGAGGGAGCAGCTGGATTATAAGAGAGCTGGAGAATTTCACCCAGTCTAGCTATTCACTTACCACTGCTGCCCTACCCCTCTGAGCTCCCAGGACGAGAGTGACCATAACCACATGAGCAATATGGCCTCTACATACCAGACACTGTGCCAAGTGCTTCGTGTTCATTTAGTTCAATCAAAGATAGGCACAACTCTTTGCCTTGCTTTAGAAATGTGGGAGCTGCAGCTCAGAGTGGTCAAGTCACTTGCCCAAAGTCACACAGCTGGTGAATGTGGAATCAGAATTCACATGTGCGCAGCGTGAGTCCATCACCAGGTCAAACTACTATCCTGCCCCCTTTCCACAGTGTTGTGAGTTTGGTCCCCCAGCCCATGGCACGCTCTGTGGGGGCAAGGATGGGGTGCTCCTCACATCCTTATTCCCAGAGCCTGCACAAAGCCGCCCTGAACCTATTTGAACGAACACATCTGTCTCTGTCAGGAAACCATCCCCTCTGTGAGATTCTCAACATCACCTCAAGGCATTGATTTGGGCAGCAGCAAATCAGGGAAAGAGCTGGGACCGTGCTATCTTGGGCTCTGTTCCTGCCCTCCTGGAGCTGCCATCACGGCGCACAGACTAGACGCTAGACGGTATCTATCTCCGGGGGAACGGCTTGAAGAGCACATTCGTTACAGTAGTCAGTGTGCTTTCTCTGGGGCCATGTGAGGAAGCCTCCCAACAACTGAAGGAGAGGAAAAGGTTACTCTTCAGAAGGAATTCTGTCCCTGCTTCGAAGGAGATGATGTTGAAGGAATCACCAGACATCTTACTTGTCCTTGTTCCTCCAGGGCCTGGCACAGAACAGGATACTCCTCACTCATCATTCATTCCCTCCCTGAGCACTTACTCTGAGCTAGACCTTTGCTGATCCCCCTCACTCCAATCTGTGAGGTGGGTGCACTTATCCCCGTTTTACAAATGAGACAGAGGCTTCGGGAACCTAAGTGACTTGCCCAGGATCGCAGAGCTAGTAAGTGCCACTGAAACAGTAAGACTCCAGAGCACCTGATCTTCCCCACTACACCATGCCTACTGTCTCTACTGCCTCCATATGGCCATCCTCATTTTAAAGACAACAAATGGAGCCCCGAAGATATTCGGTGAATCACCCCATGTCATAATAGCGAGGCTGGGATTTGAACTCATGTCTTTCTGAAGCCCATGCTCTATAACTGTCAGGGCACTGCTGGTCAAGGAATCTGACACAGCCAAAGGGCTTTGACTCTGGGCAGGCGGTCAGCTCTAGACTTCTTTTTTTTTTTAAAGATTTTATTTATTTATTTTACAGAGAGAGTGACAGAGCACAAGCAGGGAAGCAGTAGAAGGAGAGGGAGAAGCAGGCTCCCCCCCAAGCAAGGAGCCCGATGTGGGGCTCGACCCCAGGACCCTGGGATCATGACCTGAGCCGAAGGCAGGCGCTTAACTGTCTGAGCCACCCAGGCGCCCCAGGTCTGGGCTTCTTGAGGTCTAGACGGTCTGGGCCTCTTTCTTCCACGTGGGATGGTGGCCCCACAACAGCAGCCAGAGTGTCAAGCAACCCACAGAGGGCTCCACCCGGCAGCTACTGCAGGCACATGCAGGGCCCCTCACTCAAGCTCCTCAGAGGACCCTCCACACAGTACCCCAAGGTGAATCTTCAAAGCGTCATCCTTTGAGGACAGTGGGAACTTGGGCCAAATGTGCCACAAGCTTGAGGTCCTGGTGATGCCTTACCTCGGTGGAGCCTGTGAAGGCCACTTTGTCCACATCCTCATGGGAGGTGATGGCGGCCCCAGCTGTGGGGCCAAATCCAGGAATAATATTGACCACGCCAGGGGGAAAGCCGGCCTGTGGGCAAACAGCCAGGGACACTGGGCGTCATTCTCCTGTTCCAAAGGGCTTGGACAGAAGAACATACACCCCCCGGAGAGGCTAAAGCAGCCTGCCCGGTACCCAGACAAGCTGACACCAGTGTGTGAGGCACTGCTCAGGAATTCCAAATGGCACAGCAGAGAACCTACTTTTCGGGGTTCCCTGGGGCTGTTGTCCCTCCCCAGTGGCATTCTTCAAAGGGGTCTGGCAGTGAAGCTCAGTGTACAAAACAGGTAAGGGGGGTCATTTTGGCTGGCCTGTGATGAGGTACGGGGGGTGCAGGGGAGGTTCAGTTCCTGCTCTACAAACACCTGCCCCACTTTGGGGCCCCCGAAGCCCCTCCTAAGAACCCCCAAGGAGCCAGCCTGTACAAGGGCATTCAGAGGTCAAGACTGACACAAACCACACACCTCCTTAATCAGGTTGGCCACATAGAGGGCAGTCAGTGGAGTCTGCTCAGCTACCTTCATCACAACCACATTTCCGGTCGCCAGGGCTGGGCCGAGTTTCCAGGCTTGCATCAGGAGCGGGAAGTTCCACTGCGATAAACAAGAGCTGCTTCTGGAATCAAGCTGGAGCTGCACTGGCTCCAGGGAGGAGGGGGCGGCCCGGGGAGGAGAAGGGGCACCCAGGGGGTGGCCCGGGGAGGAGGGGGCGGCCTGGGGAAGGGGGCTGCGCTGACTTCTCCGAGCCCCTTGTGCTACTCCCACAACTCTGCTATGAGTTGAAGACGGATGGACATGGCAGGTGGATGGGAGCAGGAGCGACTCAGGCTCCTTAGAGCTTTAACCATACTAGGCTCTGTGCTATGTTGTTGCCTTGTATTACCCCTCCTGCCCTAAGACAGTGTTGTGTTCCCTTCTGCTTTTCAGATAAGGAAACCGAGTCTTATGGGTATCAGTGATTTGCCCAAAGTCAGAGTCCACGCATGGCAGCACTGGTTGGCTTTGTTAAAGCCTGTGTTCTCACCCACCACCCAGGCCACCTTCCAACAACAGCCCGCAGACCCTCCCACCTGTGCGATCCGCCTGTCCCAGATCGCTGCATCTCAAGGCACTCCTAATAAGCCTTCATCTGTTTATTAGGAGCCTACCACTCACCGGAATGATCTGCCCACACACCCCAACGGGTTCATGGCGGGTATAGCTGAAGAAGTCCCCATCAATGGGAATAGTTTTCCCGTGGTACTTATCAGCCCAGCCAGCGTAATAACTTAAAAAAAAAAAAAAATCCAAGCTTAATCAATGACTGTCAGGGACCCCTGTACACCCTGGCAGAAAGAAAAGGCTCAAACAGGCCCCTTGTAAGGCCCAAACAAGCCCAATTGCCCTTGCCCTTGGCTTAGCCCCAGAAAGACTTCCTAGGGTCACAGTTCCACTCTGGACAACTAAACTCTAAGCCTCAGAATCACCTGGGATGCTTGTAAATAACACCACATTTCAGGAGCCCACTTCCAACTTAACTCAATCTGGAGCTCCGAGGCTGATCCCCAGGAATTGGTATTTTTCATAAACATTCAGATTTATTAAATTGTGACTGTTGAAGTAGCCAGCACCACAGATTAGCATCTGAGAACCATGGGTCGGATCTGGTGAGGAAGCGAAAACCTCTCTAACGGCCAGCACTTCCTGTATGCAGACCCCAAAGTACGACTGAGGGAACAGTCACCAGAAACAAATCCTCAACTGGCCCAACCCCTCGTAAAGCCTCCCATCTAGACACACAGGGACCCAGGGGACAGAAAAGCCCAGCACCTTAGAGCGGGGGAGAAAAGAGCATTGTGGGTTTCCAGCCCGTAATGGTGACATTTTCAGAGAAGCAGGAAAAATGAGAGAAGGGGAAATATGGAAACGTGGGGTAAAAGGAAGAGTTCTGAAATGAGTGGGATGGCAACGCGAGTCTGGGCCCCACGCTGACCTGGCTTCGAACACGGGTCTGTGAACAGCCAGGGAGTTGCCAATCTCTACAAGGGAAGGCAGCGCCGCTCCCTTCCTCCCAGGCTGTATGACGTATGTTTTGCAGGCCCCAGAATGGTTACCTAATCAGCATAACGGCATATTCCTAAAACTCAGGAGGGCATAGGACTTAGCCCGAGCTTCCCCAGGCTGCTCTCTCTGGGTCACCCTCACAGCGCGTTCTAACCTTGGTACTATGGTCATATGGGGCTGGAAAATTCTTTGCTGTGCAGGCCATGCTGTGCACTGCAGGCTTTTTAGCAGCCTCTCTGGCCTCTGTGCACTAGATACCAGTAGCACCCTTCCCTCACCCCCTTCTGTGACAGCCAGAAGTATCTCCAGACATTGCCAGCTGTCACCTGGGAGACGTGACTAACTACCCTGGTTGAGAACCCTTTATGTTGTCCAACCACTACTTTTCTGGCACGGCTTCTTCCCCTCCACCTCTGTCCACAGGGTCACAGGGGAGTGCTTGTTATTTGCACAATGATCCGTCCACCCAGACCACAGCTGGTCAGACTTGAGGCCAGCCAGTCAGGGTGGCATCTGGCCCCTGAATCTGGCATGAAGACTTTGGCATTTGGCACTAGGATAAGGGACTGCAGTGTCGTCAGTAGGATCCCACATATAGGAGCCAGCCCAGGGGTGGGCAGCCAGGTTCCAGCACACACACTGGCCCTGACAGCGGCTAGGGGGTAACTGAGAGAAGAAGGAAGCAAGAGGGCGAAGATGGGCCACGGTGAGGCTCAGCGGCCTTCTAGATTTAAGACCCCCAACTCTGCAGTGCCCAAGTCAGACTGAGGCTTTGTTACTGCAACCCCAAAGACCCTAACAAAGCTCTTATTCCTCATCCTGTATTTCTTGGGCATTAAGATGTTTGATTAAACTAATCCCAAAGCCAGCAAGAAGAAAATGATAAAGACTAGAGCAGAGATAGGAAAACAATAGAGGAAATCAACAAAACCAAAAGTGGGTTCTTTGAAAACTCACCAGATTGACAAACCTTTCACTAGACTAAGAAAAAAAGGCAGAAGACACAACTGAAAACCAAAATGAAAGCAGGGACACTACCACCGACCTTAGAGAGATAAAAAAGCTTATAAAGGGCATATATGAACAACTGTAGCCAGCAAATGAGATAACATACATGAAATGGACAAATTCCATCTAACATAGAAATTACCAAAACTGCCTTGAGAAGAAAGAAAAAGGCTTATGATTAAGTTACAACTTTGATATTGAGGGATTTTCTCCTAACATGTTTCTACAACTCCTGTGATCCTGTTGAATTATTCTATTTCTGGGCGCCTGGGTGGCTCAGTTGTTAAGCGTCTGCCTTCGGCTCAGGTCATGGTCCCAGGGTCCTAGGATCGAGCCCCACATCGGGCTCCCTGTTTCACGGGAAACCTGCTTCTCCCTCTCCCACTCCCCCTGCTTGTGTTCCCTCTATCGCTGTGTCTCTTCTCTGTTTAATAAATAAAATCTTTAAAAAAAAAATTATTCTATTTCTGGCCCCTACAACACCTGCTCCCCTGGGGGACGGCCAGAACAAAGAGCCAGAAGCCTGAGCCCATACCGGAAGCATTTGAGAACCATGTCCAGATCCACCAGGTAGGAGATGACATAGGGCTTGCCGTTATCCAGGGTCTCCAAGGCCTGAGAAAAGAGAACAGTCAGCACAGACATGCAGGCACAGGATTGAATCAAAGCAATCGGTGACGACCAACGCTGAAGCTCAGCACAGACCAAGAAGGGCTGATGGGCTACTTTGTGCCACTAAATGCCATGGCATTTCTGGCCCATCGCCCCTCCCTCTCCTAAGACAGGAGAGCGAGGGGTGGGGAGAGGAACGGTGCACCAACTTCACGTGCACGTGTTTTCCAGGTTCTGCTCTAAGCCAAATCCAGGGGCTGGGGGTAAGAGACAAACATGGGGGCTGAGAGAGCAAAGCGCCAGTGACTAATGACATGAAGCCTCAATCACGAGTGTTAAGAATGCTAGAAAGGAGAAGCCAGGCTGCCCAGCCCAGTCTGAGAAACACCCTCTAGCCTAAACCTGAAGGATATGTAGGAGGTAACTAAGCAAGGGGGAAGGTACAAATGATGACAAAATGAAAAGCACCCCAGAGAGAACAGCATGTGCAAAGGCCCTGATGGCTCAAAGAAGCCAGGCAGTCAAGACGCTGAGGGAAGGCTGGTGAGCTGAGCAGTGTGTGAGGGTCATGGTCCAACATTAGTTGGGAGACGGAGTCAGACCAGGCAGGGCCTTGTAGACCATGATGAGAGAACAGGACTTTATCCTAAGGATATACAGGATGCCATGGAAGGCTTCAGAGTGGAGCACCATGGTATAATTTGCCTTCTAGAAGGTTCACTCTGGCTGCTATTTGCAGATTGGACTGGGGAGAGGAGAGGGTATTGGCTCTTGGTTTCTTCTGCCTCTGGCAGCCAGAGAGAAGGCCCACCACACAGAGGGGCTCCGAGGGAGGTGTCCATCCCTGGGGGTCTCGGGGAAGGCTCCCCATTGTGGCTCCCCTTTCCACCCCATCTCCTCCTTTCTTAGCCATCATAGGGGACAATGAGAGGCTCCTCTGGTTGGTACAGGGGCATACCCCCAAAATGTCCAGCCTATGCCATTCTGACCAGTTACAGGTCAGCAATGCAGCCCCCTTTCCTGGATGGCTGTGGGATGCTCTGAGCCTATTCACCACATGGGATGAGAGGGGAGGGCGCTGAGAACTCACTGCTAGGTAGGTCCGGTCCCGCTCAATCAGATCAGCCAGGCGGTTCAGCAGGCGGCCCCTGTCGGATGCGTCCATGCGGCGCCAGGGTGAGCCCAGCTGGAAGGCGGCCCGGGCAGCCTTTACTGCCCTGTCCACGTCTTCCTGGAAAACACCCACCAAGGCAGCTCAGGCCTTCTCAGCACTAACTGCCTCCAGTTACCACCCAGCCCGCTGCCAAACACCCCCATGGGACTTCAGTCAATGCCTGTGTGGAAACTCGCCCCGAACAGCCCTTCCCCACCGCGAAGGCCCTGCCTGTGGAGCTTCAGATTCTCCTTGCCCTCCTTTCACGGAGGGAGTGAGGATCCTGACCGTTAACGTTTCTGTATTTTCATTTCGGAATCCCCCAAAGAGTTTTGGAGGGAAACATTCAGGGCTCTGTGCTTAGAATTTGACCATTTTCCCCCTCTTCCTAAGAAAGCAAGCCCAGAGAACTTAAGCATTCCTTCTAAGATGACTGGCAGTCTGTACCTAATATAGGTTTAACCAGCTTCCCTCTCCTTGGAGAAGCAGTAAAATCAACACAGCTAGCAGTTTTCATACAGCGAGAGGTGTAGCAGGAGGCTGGAAGCATGGTTTTCATTAATATTAAACATATTTACCGGGGTGCCTGGGTGGCTCATGGGGCGCCTGGGTGGCTCAGTCGTTAAGCGTCTGCCTTCAGCTCAGGTCATGATCCCAGGGTCCTGGGATCGAGCCCCGCATCAGGCTCCCTGCTCTGCAGGAGGCCTGCTTCTCCCTCTCCCACTCCCCCTGCTTGTGTTCCTGCTCTCGCTGTCTCTCTCTCTCTCGGTCAAATAAATAAAATCTTAAAAAAACACAAAACATATTTACATCAGACTACCCTATAAGCCAGAAAAGTACTATATTTACATTTGCTTTTAGCAGAGGGAGCAGGGCTTTACACATGAATATAGAAAACTGTTAAAGCAGAGGGCAAGAGGCATTCTTAAAATATTTTCAGTGCCTTTACTTTTTTTTAAGATTTATTTATTTTTTTAAAGATTTTATTTATTTATTTGACAGAGAGAGACACAGCGAGGGAGGGAACACAAGCAGGGGGAGTGGAGGAGGGAGAAGCAGGCTTCCCGCCAAGCAGGGAGTCTGATGCGGGGCTCGATCCCAGGAACCCAGGATCATGACCTGAGCTGAAGGCAGACGCTTAACGACTGAGCCATCGAGGCACCCCTCTTTTTTTAAGATTTATTTATTTATTTTAGAGAGAGAGTGAGCATGAGTGGGGGAGGGGTAGAGGGAGAAAGAGAGAATCCCCCACTGAGCGCGGGAGCCCGATGTGGTGCTCAGTCAGTCTCACAACCCTGAGATCATGACCTGAGCCGAAACCAAGAGTCAGATGCTCAACCAACTGAGCCATGAGGCACCTCTCAAGGCCTTTTCTTTAAAAAAAAAAAAAAAAGAGAGAGAGAAGATAGTAGGAAGGGAAAATGAAGGGGGGGAATCGGAGGGGGAAATGAACCATGAGAGACTATGGACTCTGAGAAACAAACTGAGGGTTCTAGAGGGGAGGGGGGTGGGGGGATGGGTTAGCATGGTGATGGGTATTAAAGAGGGCATGTATTGAATGGAGCACTGGGTGTTATATGCAAACAATGAATCATGGAACACTACATCAAAAACGAATGATGTAATGTATGGTGATTAACAATAAAATAAAATTTAAAAAAATAAAAAATAAAAAATAAAATAAATGCTCCATAATTTGAAAACAAATTTTTTTTACTAAAAGTCTAATTTTTAAGTTGTAAAATTATTATAACTATTTTTTATTGCAAGTAGGTATAATTCCAACATAATGTAAATACACCACCAACACCAGACTAGATCTCAGAAGACCCAAATTCTAGTCCACAAGATTCCTCCATCTAGATGTGTACCACCCTTCTCTGACCTTCAACTTCTAGGTCTAGAAAAGAGAGATTGGATTAGATGTTCCCAAATTTAGTTCCAAGTCTACAATTCTACCACTGTGTGAATTATTGAACCCGGGTATAATCTAGCACCTTTGTTGGAAGGAAGAGTTTCTGTTGATTCATTTACTCAAAAGATGTTCATTGGCATTTTTGAGTTATGAAAATAATACACACCTGGTAAAGTTTCAACCACATAAAAACATATAAAGTACACAATGAAACCACCCTTGCCTGCTCCCGCCCCGAGGTAGGTCACCAGTTCTCACCTTGTCTCCTTCAGCTACCTGACAGATAACTTCTCCGGTGGATGGATTGATGGTGGGGAATGTTTTCTTGCTGACAGCATCGTGCCACTCATTGTTTATGAAGATCTATGAGAAGGAAGAAAGTTCTCAGGACCGGCTCTCAACCCTACACTGACAACCAGCGATGTGGGAGAAAGAAAATCAGAACACATATGAATTAGCCTCAGAGTGATGTGGTGTGAAGTTTCAAGCCCCAGCCCTGGAGACAACCAGGTTGGAATGCCCCCTCTGCCAAGCGACCTCGGGTAAGTCATTTGCCTTTCGTTTCTTTGATCTGAGAAATGAAGAGAATGTGTCTACCATATCAGTTTTCCATACTGTTGTGCAACATGTCAAAATTTGGTGGCTTAAATGATCCATCATCCTCTCACAATCGTGTCCACTAATGAGGCTCAGCTGCACAGGGCTTGGCTGGGCTGGCTCATGGGATTGCAGAGCAAGGGTGCACGGGGCTGGATGTGCACGAGGGGTTCTGCATCACATATATGTCTGCTTGGGTCTCCTGATTATATGGCAGACTCAGGCTCGTCAGCCTTCTCCAATGACAGCTGGCTTCCCCAGACAGTGTGCTGAGAGACCCACGCAGAAGCTGAAAGGCTTCCTAAGATCCAGCTTCTGAAGTCACACAGCCTCATTTCTGCCACCAAGCTTCACTGGTCGATGTGAGTCACAGGCCCAGTCCAGATCTCGGGGAGGGGAGAGAGCCTCCACTACTCCTTGGGAGGAGCAGCAAAGAATTTGCAACCATCTCTCCTCTAGCACACTACTGCACAGTGTTGTTGTGAGAACGGGGTCAGATTATTCTTTGACCATTCAGTAAACATGTAGTGAACACCTGTGATGGGCCAGGCACTGTTCTAAGGCTGAGGACACAGTGGCAACCCAACCCAATAAAGACCTTTCTCACTCATGGAGCTGGTGTTCTGGTGTAGAGAAGCAGGTAGAGAAGCAATACACAAGGCAACCTCAGATTGCAGTGGTAGGTACAAAGGAGGAAAATAGGACCCACAAAGAGTACTAAAGTGGGGGAAGACAGAGAACTTTAGATGGGATGGTCAGGAGGGTCTCTCTGATAAGCAGATATTTCACTCGAGCCCTGACTGATGAAAAGGAGCCAGCCACAGGAAGAGTAGGAGGATAAGCACTCCAGGCAGCAGGAAGAGCAAGTGCAAACGCCCTGGGGTAGGAATAAGCCTGGTGCATTTGAGAAAAAACAAAAGTGACCAGAGTTAACTGGCAAACCAAGAAGGAAGTGCTAGGACATGGAATCAGAGAGCAGGGTAGGTCCCGTGAAGAAGCCCTCAGTTCAGCGCCTGGCAGCAATCATTGCTAATGCTGTTGTGAGGATTAACTGCAACCACGTCTGGAAAGAGACTGTTCACTGGTTTAATGAGGCCAGTGTCAGGGGAGGATGGAACCCTCTTCATTCACTCAGAGAAAAGGTCCTTATCTAAAGCTGCTTCATCAAGTGCCAAAATTCACTCTCTGCTTCTAAGAGCCAGGCAATGGCCTCAAGGGAGACCAGGGAAAACTCTCCCAGCAAGCTGTTCCCCTTCCGGATGGGGAAGCTGGTCTGAGGGTCGGGGACACTTGGTCACTTCGCCAGGGCTGAGCAAAGGTCACAGTCAGGGTGAACGTCAGTTCAAGGCCACTCTGCCTTCCTTCCTCAAGGGCTCTCCTTGGCCCCAGCATCCCAACATGGCCTGGCTCTGGCTCAGGACCCTGGGGGGTCATCTCCAGTTACTCTGGGCCAGAGTCTAGGACCACAAACAAGACCAAGCCACCAAGCAAAGTCGGGAGTTTGGCCAGGGCCAAAGATGAATCCAGGGCTCCTGTGATCCTAGTTGTGTCACATGGGGCACGGCACTTCACCTCACTCTGTAGTGAGAACCACCGCAGTACCCAGACGGCGCATGAGGGCTCCAGGTGTATGCTCCGGGCTTCGGGGGAAGTAAGTGTGCCATGCTGTGGCGGTGCCCGTGGGACCAGGTGGCACAGGAAGGAGCTGGTTAGGAAAGGGTCTACCAGGGCTCACTTTCCCAGCCTCAAATCTGGTATAAGCATTTCCCACACGTGCCCTTTTAGGACGGATTTCACTATTCCTGTTGGCACTGCTGCAGCAAACAGCCTAGGATGCGCATCTCTGCGAACTTGGGACAGATGACCGTATAAATATCAGAAAACTGCTGAGTTAGAGGGTAACGTGATCCTTGGGCTGCCTCCAGAAACTTGGGTGGTGTGGTGGGTGCCTAGAAGCTGCGGACCCCAGGGAGGAGGCCTAACCAAGGCGAGGACAGAGTGACATTCCAGTGCCACCCCCACACCAAGACACTGGACAGTCATCATCTGTGCAAGGTCTCCAAAAACAGGTTCAGTGGTGTTCAGTAGCTCCAATTTGGCAGACAGGATGCACTCTAGAAAGATTTTGATTCAAGCTTTGATGCATGATAGAATTGGGGATTTGTGGGGCCCTGGGTAGCTCAGTCATTAAGCCTCTGCCTTAGGCTCAGTCATGATCCCAGGTCCTTGGGATCGAGCCCCACCTTCCCATCTTTGGACTCTCTGCTCAGCGGAGAGTCTGCTTCACCCTCACTCTCTGCTCCTCCCCCCTGCTCGTGTTCTGTCTCTCTCATGCTCTCTCCCTCTCAAATAAATAAATAAAATCTTTGGAAAAAAAGGGGGGGGGCGCCTGGGTGGCTCAGTGGTTAAGCGTCTGCCTTCGGCTCAGGTCATGATCTCAGGGTCCTGGGATGGAGTCCCTCATCAGGCTCCCTAAACCTCAGGGTTAGTTTAGTAATAAGGCCAAAGGCAGCCACCTCCCCCAGGCTTGCTGGAGACATTCTGGCACCTGACCAGAGCCCTTGCCTCCTCTCCTCAGCACCCAGGGCCTTTCACTCTGCACTCCTGGATTTTTCACCACATTCACCATGGGAAGTTGGGTTCTACTGTGGACTGTTGGCCTGGCAGTCATGCTTTCAATTTGTTTATGTTCTCTGGGCTTATCATTTGGCAACCTCTACCTTGCTGCAGTCACTTCCCTTGGATAATTTTAGCCCTCCCTGCATGTCTTCACATTCTTATTCATGTTAACTCCCAAATTCTTTGAAAAAGCCCCTTCTGAGTGGAAATACTGTGTTCCCATTCCTTGCTACTGGAACACAAAATTATAAACATGGTTTCATAAATGGCAACGATTCATGCCTTCAATAAATATTTACTGAGCAGCAATCATATTTCTGATCTCCGTGCTAGGGCTGGGAATACACATGTGAACAGAAACACAGCTCCTCTGGGGCGCCTGGGTGGCTCAGTCGGTTAAGTGTCTGCCTTCGGCTCAGGTCATGATCCCGGGGTCCTGGGATCGAGCCCCGCATCGGGCTCCCTGC